TACCATAGCCTAGCCAAATGGATACATAAAATTAAGCATACGATTGTATTCATATATATTTATATGAATGACTTTATTCAGTGTGAACAATTTATAATACAGTTACTATATTCTGAAGTGATTAAGAGCCTCACAAGATGAAGTGAGTAGTTATCTTAATTTTTCCTGAAAATCTCATATATATGTGTATACACACACACACACACACACACACACACACACACATATAAGTTTGGAGAGAGACGGATGAAGTCTTTAAGAAGCCAATGGAGTACTAAATCCATCCCTCCAAGGGATGCATACATAATTCAACGCTCCCATTCTCCTAAGTTATGAAACTTCTATGGTAATACAATTAAAATCAATTCTATTTTTTAATGTATTTTAGTAAGCTTTTTAATAGTATAATACTGTTGGAAGTAGGCTCATTAACTAGAATGGAAAAATTTGTGCCATTTACAATTTTTTAAAAAATATGTCCAATTTGGAAGTGCAAATTTAATATACCTGTATAATTGTTGGTAAAAGCACATGTTTTTGGAATGTATCAGTTAAGATGCGTAGAATACAGACAAGTGCTAAAGGAGATGTTATTTTGAAATACTCTGTAGTTACAGAAAGTAAATATAATCCAGATGGATCTACCCTACCACCTTGGGAGAAAGTACCTAGTATGAATTAAGTTCGTTTAGTTTAAAGGTTCTAAATTTTCATGACTATCTCTTCATAGAAACATTGGGATTACATTATGTAGTATACATTGGACTATAGAATAGTTATGTATTTTTGATACAGTCTTACTATAATGAAATGTCAATTAATTTTTATGTATTTGATCTCCTATCAATATATTTACTATCTTTGGTTTCCAGCTTTGTATTGATCCCCTCTATACTTGGCTATTCTATTCATTTTGACATGTTTCTTCAGTGTCTGTCACGTTTTAATCCTTTGCCTTTACTGAAGTTAGATTTTGTAGCTACGAGCAAGTTAATAAATAGATCTGAACACATGTAATTGTATTCACTAAAACATTAAATTTCCTTATATTTTGGTAATGCCTGTTAAAACACATCATAAAATCTTTTTCATTAATTTCAATTGCACAAAAACTAATTGAGTGAATACAGTGGAATGAAAATATAATGTACTAATTGGTATGCAAATCATTAGTAAGATGAACCTGAAAGATTTAAAAATGGAATCGCTTCACAATTTCTATTAAAGGAAAACTGTATATTATACACATTAGGCAGAATCCCATGTATTTTCTATATCCTCATAAAAAAATGGGAAAACTGTAGGGAGGAGAACATCACACACTGGGGCCTATTGGGGGGTGGGGGGTCTAGGGGAGGGATAACATTAAGAGAAATACCTAATGTAGGTGACGGGTTAACACCATGGCACGTGTATATCTATGTAACAAAACTGCACATTCTGTACTTGTACCCTAGAACTTAAAGCATAATAAAAAGTAACAATTTAAAAAATTATGAACACTCTAAATATCCCTTCCCTGTCCCTTTTTACTGAAATTTATTGACATTTAGCAATCAGTTTTTTTTTTTCCATTAATTAAGGAGGTGTGATGCCATGAAGCAGGGAAAAAACAAAATCCCCTGATAAATGTGGATTTGAGTCCCTCTTCTGGTAGTGACTAACTGTGAGGTCACGGGCAGCTCACTTAACTCTTTGTCAGATTCTAAGAAAGATAATCTTATAAAAATGAGGAAAATAACATTTTCCGTCTAGCTGTAAAACAATGTATAATTATTTGCATACAATAAATATTCAATAAATGGAAGCTATACTAACAGATATATAAATGACACACTTATATTGTTGATGTTGCCTGAATACATAAATGCATAGAATATAGTTTATGCCCCGGCATACAAAATTATATATCGCATTATCCCTTCTGCTTAGTGCTTTACATGTTATATTAATGCCCATAAAAACTTTGATGAGGAAGGATGATTACCCTCAATATTGATAAAGTAACTGGTGTTCACAAATGCCAAGAAACTCTAATCCCTTCAAACGGAAGTCAGGATTCACATGTGAGACTGTCTATGTTGTTCCTCTGCAGTGTGACATCTGCTTCTTCCAAACTACTGAAATTATTCATTTAAATTTTATCAGTGTCTGAAAGATCGCCAAATCTAATGCTTTTGTTTCTGGTTTTGGTTTTGTTCTCTTTTGTTTTAAATTGTCTGGGTGGGGTGGCCCACACCTGTAATCCCAGATATTTGGGATGCTGAGGCGAGAGGATCACTCGAAGCCAGGAGTTTAAGACCAGCCTGGGAAACATAGTGACATCCCATCTCTTAAAAAACAAAAACAAAAACAAAACAAAACAAACAAACAAACAAAATATATATATGTGTGTATATAAGCATTGTGGTGCGTGCTAGTAGTTGGGAGGCTGAGGTGGGAGGATCCCTTGAGCCTAGGAGTTGGATGCTACAGTGAGCTATGATGGTGCCACTGCACTCCAGCTTCAGTGATAGAGACCCTGCCTCAAAAAATTAATTAAAAATTAAAAAGTAAACTAAATAAGAAATTGTATTTTATCTCAGGAGGCATTATATATGACTTTTATATATGAATATATATGATATATATATGACCTTTATATGTGAATATATATGTACGTATTCAATTTATTTGAGAATACCTCTGCAACCTATATTCCTAATTTATCATAACATGTACCTCTCCTGTAGAGGAGCAGAACTGTTTGTTGTTTATCCAAAATATTTTGCCCAAAACCTGATTTGCTTATTTTGAATAGTAGACTTTAAAAAATAAAGTCTACTGTTTCTGAAATTACAAGTGCTCTGTAAGCACTTTTCTCTCTCTCCCTTTCTCTCTCTCCCTTTCTCTCTCTGTCTCTTTTTTTTTTTTTTTAACATTATGGTATTTGACATGCCCTTGGACTTCCTCCTCTTTCCCTGAAGTCAGATCAGTTTGTTGTGATAATGCATACGGTGGTAAAAAGAATGAATTATGGAAACAAATCTGTATTAGAATCTATGATCTTGAGCAAGACACATACTTCTGAAACTTGTTTTCTCATCAGTAGATAACAATGACGCTTATCTTGCAGGGATAGTATAAAGCTTAAATGGAAAACATTTGTCAAGCATCTAACATAATTCACATCACGACATATCATATCACTTCAAAATTTGGTTACACCACATTACATACTTATTTTTGAGATTGTGGCCACAAGGTATATGGCTTTTCTAAAGTTCTGCCATGGAACCTTTTTCACCCTATGTATTTTATTTCTGTGGAAAATTTCATCCACACTCATGTTTATAAATATTATTTTATTATTAGGCTATCCATAATCATTCTGCTTTTTTGATCCAGATACATCTTTCTCTTCCTCACTGCCTACTTAGTCTCTGTTCTGTTTCCTCTATTTTATGTCTATTCTCTACCCTTTTCTCAAAATATCCTCTTAATGTATATATTTTACCTTAACAGAGTCTAAAATTATCAATGAATATTCTTGCTACACAAAAGACTAAAAGTCAGATAAATGACTTTTATATATGAATATATGATATGTATGACCTTTATATATGAATATATATATTTTTTCAATTTATTTGAGAATACCTCTGCAACCTATATTCCTAATTTATCATAACATGTACCTAACCTGTAGAGGAGCAGAACTGTTTGTTGTTTATCCAAAATATTTTGCCCATAACCTGATTTGCTTATTTTAAATAGCAGACTTTAAAAAAACAGTCTACTGTTTCTGAAATTAAACCCATTATTCAAAGACAAATTCTGATTTTACCCTATAACTAAAGCTATTAAAGCTCCTTCTAAAGAGAATGGTGTCTTCCCTTATACATGTTTGCTTCTTAAATACTCTGTTGATTACTTGTGTGGATTATTATTATCATTTTCCTTTTGTTTTTATGCAACACATATATGCATAATCATTTAGCACTCTTAGTCCTCATACTATTTACTAAACTGCCTTATTAAATGTCAGATTGTGTTGAATCACCTTTACATAATTTCTTACATGATTTTCATTCTATAAATATAAAATTTAATTAGGAAATTTCTAGAATCACAAAAATATCCATGCAATAACAACAGATTCAATAGCATTTAGTATTTTTAAGAAATTTACTCTTATTTTTCAGATGTTTTCATTTTGTGTCTGTGAGAACCATTATACATAATCAATACTATGCTTTAAAACTCATTACTATCTAGTTATATTCTCTATAATAAAGTATTTCTTTTCCGGTGTGTCACAAAGCTCATGATTTCAGGTTATATAAAGGAAATGGTGAATAAATTGCAAGGAAAATATTACCCTTCTTTCTTTCAAGCTAAATATGCGTATTTCCATTCAGTAATCGCCAACATAGAGAATGCCAGTATTAGATTTTTGTGAGCCATGCAGTGCCCTGAAGAATTTATAAAACAGGGAAACATAAAGTTTGAGTGAGTGCACCATGCTATGTTATGTGATATATAGCAGATTTTGCCAGTACTGTGGAAGCAGCCTTGCTCTGAAAGTTCTTTTCCAACTAGGGTTTGATTGAAGCACACGACTGAAAGAGAAAACAGTTATATTAATAAAATTCAGAAGTCAATGCTTTATCTCAAAACATTGCCGAACTGCATACAATATAAACAGAGATAAAGTGACATGCCTAAGACGAATAAAACATCATCTAAAAACAGAAAATAAAGCAGAAAACGCATTTGCAATCATCACATTTCAAACACAATTGGAGAGTCCTGAAAGATAGTCCATATGAAAGAGAAAGCAGTCACGGAACACAGTGCAGGACAAGGTGGGGAGTGGGGGGCCCAGGGCTCTCTGGAACATTTATTATCATTGTAGAGCTCAGAAAGTATTTTTCTTAGGAAGCCACTGACACTCGGTTTTCAATCCAGCCATAGAAATGTGCAGCAATTTGAGAGTCAGTACAGAATGTTAAAGACAAAATTTTCCCTCATGGGTGTTATCAAATACTACAAAGTCTTTAAGACTTGAAAGTTTTTCACTTTTCCACGCTTCTGTGGATAAGAAAGAAATTTCTCCAAGAAAGAAAAGCAATTTTGTTTGCTGTGAGAGTTAGCGAATGGCCCTCCATTGTGCTTCAGATGTTACTGTATTTCCACTGTGCTTAAGATGTCTTTGTTTTATCCTAAATACACAGAATATTTAAAGATAATCCAGGTAGAATATAAGCAACTATGTAGGTGCTATTCTTTTATCTATAGCTTGTACTTTCAAATAGCTGCACTTCACCAATGAATTGTTTTAAATAATTTTTTGTACGAAATACTTGTAATCATTGCAGAAGCACATATAAATATATATTAAATATGCTTTTAGAGGTAATATAAAACTTTACCTCTAAATTTCACACAAAAGTTCTCATTTTATATTATGTACATTCATTGAATCCTAAATAAAATTAATATAAAGAGAATATTATCTATACAGTGGCAATATTTACTAAAGTTTTGTTTGTAATATATAATTAGCAGACAAAGACTGAACCTGAACAGATGCCCTTATCTTGGGAAGCCTATTGTAAAATTAATGGATTTTAATGTTATATATAGAACCATTGTCCATAGCATTCCTCTTAGCAATTGCAAAACCATTAAAACCAGTGATGAAATAGAAAAGATCGTTGCATATTACCTTAAAAATTATCAACTATAAAAGAAAAATAAGAACTCTGCTTCATTATCTGTTAGAATGGCATGTATGAAATGTTGGCTCCTTTCTAAATCATACAAAATAATTTACAGTTTCTGGAGAGGACTTAGAATTACCCCCATAAAAGATGTGGAATCAACCCAAATGCCCATCAACAATAGACTGAAGAAAACGTGGTACATATAAACTGTAGAATACTATGCAGCCATGAAAAGGAATGCGTTCATGTCCTTTGCAGGGACATGGATGAAGCTGGAAACCATTATCCTCAGCAAACTAACACAGGAACCGAAAGCCAAACTACACATATTCCCACTTAAAAGTGGGAGCTGAACAATGAGAACACATTGACACAGGACAGGGAACAACACACTCTGGGGCTTGTCAGGGGGTCAGGGAGAGAAAGTATTAGGAAAGATAGCAAAAACAAATACATGCTGGGCTTAATACCCAGGTAATGGGTTGATAGGTGCAGTAAACCACCATGGCACATGTTTATCCATGTAACAAACCTGCACGTCCTGCATATGTACCCCAGATCTAAAAAAATACAAAAAAAAAAAAAAAAAAAATCAGGTACCCAACATATATTGTTTATTTTGAAGGTGATGAAATTTACATATCAGGCAGTTTGTAGAATTTCTCCAAGCTCACATCATGAATTAATGTCATACTTATATCTCAGTGTGTTAATTAAATGGTGCTAAATAACTTATTACAGGGGTCAGAACATGTAAGCATATTTTATCACTAGTACTAGATATGAACCTGTTTATTTTATTTAAATTTCAGTTTTTTATTCTATTTAATATCTTAGTCTTTACTCATAAATTTCACCTAAAATTAAAGTTGTAAAATATGCAGCAAATTAAAATTAAATTGAATTTCCAGAAATCACAGCATGTAGTAATATTCCAAAATTGATTTGGAATGAGGCCAACACACCAAAGAATTAATGAACATACTTATCTATTATCATACATAGTAATATCTAAATTGTTCTACCAAAAAGAAACCTGCGTTTGTATGTTTATCACAGCACTACTCACAATAGCAAAGACATGGGATCAGCCTAGGTGGCTATCGATAGCGGTGGTACAAACACCATGGAATAGTAGGCCGCCATAAAAAGAATGAAATCATGTCCTTTGTGGCATCGTGGATGCAGCTGGAGGCCATTTTCGTAAGCAAATTAACGCAGAAACAGAAAACCAAATGCTGCATGTTCTCACTCATAAGTAAGATATAAACAGTTAGCACACACAGACACAAAGACGGGAACAGTAGACACAGGGGATTTCAAAAGCAGGGAGGGAAGAAAGGAGGCAAAGGATGAAAAACAACCCATCGGGTGCTATGTGCAGTACTGGGACGACAGGATTATTAGAAGCACAAACCTCAGCATCCTACAAAATGCCCATATAACAAACCTGCCCCAAATTCAAAATTAAAATAAAAAAATAAAATACTTTAGTTTTGGATTTCAGAATAGGCAACATAAAGGGAAACAGAAACAAATGTATGTGAGCTACGTTAATATTGATTACCTCAGATTTCATTTTGAGTAAACACAACTTGGAATAACACTTCGAAATCCCTGATAGAGTTTTCACTGCAAAGACTAAAGGAGAAGATAGTATTTGAATTTTAGCAAGGCAGTTTTGTTGGACTAAATGCCACAATGCCTATTCTGTTTATTTCAAAACTAAAAATATATAAAATACTACCAAACCTTAAAAGTAGCAAGAAAGCCAAATGCCCTGATAAGGTCATAGTCGATTTGCCTTGAACCATCTGAAGATGTCTGTATCTGTGATTGTTACTCACAAAGGACAGCCTGCTTAGAGTCAAAGGCTATATTAGTAGTGAAGAGTAACAAACAGTAGAGCTTTTGAAATTCTGTGCAATACAGTTCAATCAGTTTAGAAACAGAGCTCTTACAATTCACACACTGTCCATCTTCACCTAGGAACAACACAAGGGTACTTTAACATTAGAACGCGTATTAATACACTTGATCACCTTAATAGATCAAAGGAGGAAAAATATGCATATGATTATTGAAGTTGATGGAAGAAAAGAATTTAAAACTCATGTATAATAAGAACTATTAGCAAGTTGGGAATAATAAATAATCTTACTCTGATAAATTCTATGAAGAGCCTATGGCACATATAAGTAATGGAGAAATTTAGTTCACATCATCTTTGAAGTAAGGCATAAGACAATGTTACTGCAAACAAGTACTCTGTTGAACATAGACGTAAAGATATTTATAAGTGCCACAGTGAAATAATAATAAGTAAATAGTTTAAAAGGACTGGAAAAGAAAAATAATGCTATTATTGCAGATTATATAACTGATGACAGTAAATCAAGAGAATCTACAGGCAAACTATTAAGGTCCATTAAAATGTTCACCTAGATCACTTGGACTCGGGAAGGGGAACATCACACACTGGGGCCTATCATGGGGAGGGGGGAGGAGGGAGGGATTGCATTGGGAGTTATACCTGATGTAAATGACGAGTTGATGGGTGCTGACGAGTTGATGGGTGCAGCACACCAACATGGCACAAGTATACATATGTAACAAACCTGCACGTTATGCACATGTACCCTAGAACTTAAAGTATAATAATAATAATAATAATAATAAAAAATGTTCACCTAGATCACTGAATCTACATCTCATATAAAGAAAAGGTAGTTACTATAAAAACATAAAAGAAGATATTTAAGTTCAAACAAAAAGATACTTTTTAGAGTTGTAAATATAAGTCATGTAGAAGTAAAGTTAAAAATAATGTACAAGTGCTTTGTAGAGATGTAGAAAACATAGTCAAAACCCCAAGGATCTAAATAATAACAAGATATGTTTATTGTTAGAAAGATGAAACATAATGGTGAATAATTTAATAAAATAATATGCAAATCCAATGCAGTTCCGAAGAGCATTTCATAGTTTTTCATAGAGCATGAGCTTCTGAATCGAAAATGAATTTGGAAATGTAAATGTTGATGAATAGCAAAGATTATTTTGAAGAATAAAACAAGGTTTATTTCTCTAGCAGATATGTCTAAATAAAAGATGTATTAACTTGTTGTTGGCATTTTAAATTGTGGAGAAATCATTCAATTAATAATTTGTAGAAAATTGGCTATCTGAATGGAAAAAATTGAGTTATATCCCCATCTCCTCCTACAAGTTAGAAAAGAAGTCTTTCAAATTAAAGAGCTTTTGTGAGTAGCACAATTTTAAAACTTAGAGATATGTAAGTGATTTTTTATGATTTTTAGGTAAGGGAAACAAGATAAATAATACAACTAATGACTTTTAATGAATTCAATTTTGTAAAATTTAAAAATTCCTGTGAGATGAGAAAAATCATAAAAGCTCAGAGTGAAGGTGAATCACAGATAGGGAGCGGACAATCCAACCCATGCCAATGATAAAGGGTTAGAAAGATTTGCATCAATGACAAAAGAATCTAATGGAAAATTGCTAAAGAAAGTCAACAGAGAATTCATAGAAAATGAAAACTGAATGGCCAATTATGGTCTCACTAGTAATCAGACAAATGCTTATTTTAACAAAGACATTGGTAAAAAGATAAGTCTAATAGCATCAGGGGCTGTCAGATTAATACATGATTAATGGAAATAGAAAGTCATACAATTTATTAAATTCAGGAAATTAAAGTTTACAATCATGATACGTCAGCAATTTTCTGGCTGATACCTAGTCTGCAGAAACTCTTGAATATATAATTTGTATTGTTTGTCATTGCAATGATCTTAATAACAGAGAAGTAAAACCAACATAAATATGTTTCTGTTAGAGAATAGACAAATAAACTACAGTTTATTCCCACAATGAAATAGTATATACTGATGAAGAGGAATGAAGTACCTCTTCATGAGTCATGATGAAAAAAAAACTGAAAACATTGAGAGAAGTACTCAAATATAAAATATTTCAAAATTGTACGTTAAAAAGGATACAGTTCATGTAAAACTTTAAAACACAGAAATGATATGTTTTGTGTGTTTAGATTGCATATATGTAGCCTAAAGATAAAACTCTTCATAGGAACCATCAATATTACTTTGGAGATAGTATTTACACCTGGGAGGGAAGAAAGGTGAAGGGATGGCAGTTGGATATTAGCCATATCTGCTGCAACTTTTAACACTTTGTTTAGTAAATAAAAATCCAGACAAACTATGGCAAAACATTATATCTTAACACTGGGTCATAATTTTTGTTACATTTTTATTTTGTGTTTTCCTTTATGTTTGCATTTAATTGTTTAAACATTAATTGTTTTTAAACATTAAGTAATTTCTAAATTATATTTAAAGTTATTTTGTGTAAACATATGATTTAAGTTACTCTTTTGTGTATTTCAAAATGTATGTGTGTGTTCTTGTGAAATGGCTTTAGATTAATAATAATGGTGGACATTTTCTTCTTTAATTATTTTCTCTACCCTTTGTTGCCCACAAAACACATTGAGCTTGCTTAGAGATGTTAATGTGGTATTTGAGGGGATTTTAGTTTATCAAAATAATTTAAAAGTAATAAAATATACCTAAATGCATTATCAAATGCCTGTCACTTTAATATCTTAATAACCTATATTTGATTTGCTGCATTGCTTGCAATAGAGCATAGTAAATATAAAGTTATAGACACATTTCTTATTTACATGCTGTTGACTTTGTTCATGTCAAAATTATATTCGAAATATATGGAAAACAACGAAATATGATAATGTCTTTAATAAGAACATTTTTACTAAAAATTTATATCTTAGGCATTATAGTATTAATACTTTCTATTGGTTTTTTTGTGTTGTGGACATTTGCAAATACTTTGCATACATATATTTAATTAATATTCATGCACCCGATGGCTCAGCTCTTATAGATGAGACACATAGAGTCAAGAATGTCAAGTAAGTTGCCCAAGTTTGCATAGTCGGGAAGTGGTACATCTGGCAATTGCGTTCTAATAGTTATCTTCCGGATTAAGTGCTTATTTCATTATCTCATTATCTCATTCTGCCTATGAGTCTCTTTTGTTCATACCATATTGTATGCGAATCTAGTCCCTAACTAGTTCAATAAGTACTTAGTGAATCCATTCTTGTATCAGTTATTGTTCTTGGCTGGTAGTATGGAAGCGATAAGGATTTTTCATGAACCAAAAATATATTAGCCATCTCAGACGTATTTTAAGCTTCTCTGAACTATAAATTGGTCACTGTTTTGGAGATTACATTAAGCCTTGTATAAAATCAATAAAAATATCATATAAAATTATTAAAATATATGCACAAGAACTGTTCTAACAGATTTATATTTGTTTGAGAGAAACACACACAAGTAAGAGATAATTATTATTATCATTTTAGCAATGAGTAATCTTAGGCACATAAATTGTATGGACTTTGTCTAAATTCTCATAGTCATGAGGTGCCTGAGCTGGGTGATTAGTCTCTGTCAGTAGTCATGAAATGCTATTTGTTGCAAAAAGAAAAAAATTAGAAAATACATTATTTTTAGTTATTTTAATTACTATATAATGTATTAAAAAATTGAAAGAAGCAACCATTATTCTGTATTTATCTCTTGCATATTTATTGTATATTTATCTCATCCATATTCGTCTAAGTTTTTTAAAAAATCATTGTCTCACTTTTTTTTGAGATCGTGATGATAAAAGGTAGTTTCAGATTTGTTTGATTTTAATGTCTTGTATAAAAACATAAAAATTGGCCATGCTGTCTATTCCCAAAATATTTATTTTGTGTCCATTATGTGATTTTACTGGACCATGTATTCCAAGCCTGAAGCCCAAAGATACTAAAGCACTCCTTTTCAATCACAATGTGCTTTCATCCTGTAACTACAAATATTATTCTGTGATGTTTCTTCTTTCCTCTCTCTCCCCTCTCTTTCCCACTCTCATCTCACCACGATGAAAAATATCAAATCTATCTTATTCATCTTTGTAAATTGTTTTGCTATCAGTAGGGTGCTTAGCCATAATCTATTTTTAAGAATTGTGTCAAAATTTAATCATGTTGCTCTCCAAAATGTTCTCAGGTGATGTTAGAACCAGAAAATAGGAAAATCACACTTTCATGAGTGTTCTGTTTAAGGGCTTATAATTTAAGCACAAAAATATTGCATAAAATATACATCGGTCTTGGTTCATTAACAACACTTCTGGTAATACCTATGAAGTTCCGAACCACGGACAGAGTATGCTTTCCTACCTTATGCCCATAGTTGTAGGTGACTGGAATATTTCATTATAGAAAGAGATATGAGAGAGATGCAGACACAATTTGGGAAATTACAACATATTTCCGAGGACATTACTCCAGTGCGTGCTGGATGTCAAATTTTGAAAATTTAAAAATTTGCAAAATTAACAGGCAATTTCTGGCAAGATGAGTGATTGAGAATTAATTATTATTGCTAAAACCCTAGAAGTGATATATTGATGTTCACTAAGAAAATTTGAAAGTACAATGCCAGAAGTACCTAGTTGCCTAACTCTTGAAGCTATAGAGCTGATTTAGTAGATGAGGGAGCAGTAAATTTAGCAGAACTTTTCATAAAACAGAGATGTGCATGGAACATCCAAAATATTACCTAATAAATTGAACTTCTCTGGGATTTATATGGCAGTTATCCCTTTTATAATTTAATGGGCAAAGTTCTGACAAAAAACTTACAGGAATATATGTATCATTATCATGTACTTCCTGGGAAAACAGTATAAGATTTTCACTTTTGGAAAAAGAAACAGAATATAAAATTAAATGTAACTGCCAAAAGACTTGGCTTATTATAATTTTTTACTATATAATTAATGCATATCATTATGGGCAACTGCTAATGACTCTATGTATTAAACTATGTTTCAAGGACAGTTTTAATAGTTTAATA